AAATTTATTTAAACTACCTCATTTATTAGTTGGGTATTATTGCTCTGTATCTACTGTTTCTAATTATAGTAAAATATTTCAAAACTTTTCATTGCTGCGTACAAGTTTCATGAAAATATTTTACTTTAAATTAAATTTTCTAATGGAAAGTATCTGATAAAATTGTTGCTGCATTCTTATGAGGAAGGCTTGTATTTTACAAGTGTTAATCAGAAAATTATATAATGTGAAAGATCTGCACATTAAATCAATAATAGAGCAGACGTTAGAAGTCCTGTCTTCAATCCACTACATCCTGGTAAGAGTTTCCACATGTGGTACTTGATATTTCAACTGAAGCAATCTTATGATGTGGATTTAGAAACTGGAATCACTTCGTTTTAAGATTCAAACAGACATTTTTTATTTCAATGTAAAGTTTGGAAAGTTCTGAGAGAATATAATTATGTTGTTACAGGAGATATGATTAATTGTAGCAGCATCTATTAATTAATTCAAAATTGCAATTACATAAATTGTAATACTGTATAAACTACAGATGTTCCTGTAAGTCCAAATTATACAGAGACAATAATATTTTTATTTAAACTACAGTAGAAAAAATATTCATCAGTCATAGTATAAATCAGCACATCTATCACTAAATAGAAGTTTCTCATCTTTGTTCACATACAGATTTATAATTGGAGATCTTTCGGATTCTGAAAGTGATATATTTGAGCAGTCGAAGGAGTGGGACACAAATTCAACAGAAGAGCAACAAAAGGCTTTCTGCCATGGGATAGAACTCATTCCCTGGTACGTGTTATCTATCAGGGCTGATGTCCATCAGTTCATGCAACAAGGGGCAACTGTCATTCATTATGACCAGGAGACACACCTCTCGGCGCGTTGCTTTCTCCAGCTTCAGCCTGACAATAGTACTTTGACTTGGACAAAACCCACAACAGTTTGCCCTGCAAATGCTAAAGCAAAACTGAGCATGCTGGGTAATACTGCTGAGCTTGGTAGATACCAGTTTCTTGGTAATACTGGACTGGTGGAAGGTTTTTTGGACTTGTTTTCAGCCAAGGCTGTATATATGGGACACTCTGGCATTGATATGCACACTGTGTGTGTTCAAAATAAACTTTGTAATATGTCCCCTGAAGAAAATGGTATAACACTGCTTTATGGACTTCAGACTACTGATAATAAGTTGCTGCACTTTGTTGCTCCAAAATACACTGCCAGAATGCTGTATGATGGATTGCTGGAATTGACTAAAGCTGTAAGGAAAATGAGAAGATTCCCTGATCAAAGACTACAGTGGCTACGGAAACAGTATGTCAGCCTTTACCAGGTAAAAGATACTGTGATTGTGTATAAGAAAAGTCTGAAGATGTTAACAACTTAATGTAACGCAATTAATTTCTATGATAAGTAAGCTGGGAGTAAAGATGAGCTCCAAATCTCCAATTTTGTAACACAGCTGAAGTCAATAAGTTCTGATTCTCCACATAATGTTCTGTCAAACCTTGCATGTTTTCAATACACTGAAGTTAAATCTTATTTTTTTTATGAAGCTCTTCATATGTTTAGAGTTTTGGAATAAGTGTTTTATTAAAGAAGAAGCAATGACTGTGCTTGAAAAGGGTGCTGAAATACTGAGTGATGAGAGTTAGGGCCAAAAAAGAAAAAAAAAAACCACAACAAAATAGCAAATAAAATAAGCTTTTGGTATTCATGCAGTAATTAAAAATTGCCTCCTCTTGATGCTTTGTCTTTCATTGGTTCCTTAGAGTTGTCTGTATTATTGCTTAAGAAAACATGTCTGTTCTTATTCCCCTTGTTTTGTTAACGCTGAGTATTTTTGTAGGAGGATGGAAGATTTGAAGGCCCAACCTTGGCTCAGGCTGTTGAACTGTTTGGAGGCAGACGATGGAGTGCAAGAAACACAAGCACAGGAACTCTCACAAAAAGCACCGAGAAACCTAGTGTACAAAGAAACAACACTCTGGGAATAAGCACAGCTAAGAAAAAGAAGAAAGTACTCATGAGGGTAGAATATTTTGTTATTTGTGTATTTTGCTGTTTATCTGGCTGATTTGTTTCCTTCCTACAGTTACTGTGCAACTAACTGTATTCTGAACCAGAAGAAAAAAGTTATATGATAATTTTAAAACTGTTTATTGCAGTTTCAGGTTTTGGGCTTATTGTTTGCCATTAATTTGGGTTTCTTTTCTCATGCTTGAAGCATTCTCAGGACATTTGGGTGCTGGGGCTAGCAGAAGGGGACAGAATCTTGTTGAGACCTTTAGGTGCTACCTCAGTATAAAGGTAAAATATTGGTAATAATAAAAATATTAACATGCAAAGTGATGTTTGGAGGCTGGTGTCAGTTTCTTTGCTCCTTTTTGTTGTTATATTCCCAAAAACATCACCACAGTTACTCCACCTCAGGTTAGCAAGCAGTTTTTATCTTACGTGGCTGCAGGAACACTGAACTTTGTCTGGCAGACTCCTCTCTTTTCCTGGACTCAATCACTTTCAGCAATAGCCAGGAGAGAGGAAAATACAGGGATCAGCAACTCTATGCTATCCACAGGTTCTAGTGGGTGGGTACGGGGGATCCTCAGATTACAAGATCCATCCTCTTTAGGGCTCCTATGCAACAGCAGAATAATGTAAAACCAGCTGCACCACTTGAGAGGCGCAATCATTGTTGTCTCTGTGTGATGTCAAACTTGGGTAACACCTAATAGTCTCATACTTCACTATGTATCCTGTTTAAGTTGTCTTTTTTCCTACTTAGATGATTTCACTGACAGTGCCGGTGTTGGCCTTACAGGAGTTTGTTTCATAAGGAATAGCTGATTTGTCTCATGGTTTTGTTTCAGATTGCACTGATAAAGAACGGGAAAAGTACTGTTTTCAGGATGTTTATTATGATGCTCATCATTTCTAGGGTGAAAGTGGAGAGGCTACTGATGATGAAATGGCAACTCGGAAGGCAAAAAACTGTAAAGAATATCGTAATAGAAGTGGTTCGGATCCTCAAGATATTGACGAACAAGAAGAACCAGGTAGATAATATAGCTTCGGTACTTAAAAGTCCCTCAGGGTGTTGCTCAGAGTCTTTTTATATAGACATTTTTTATGGTGTTAAAAATACTTTTATGGTACGAAACTACTTTTGCAGTTGAAACTCCAAATGCTATAAACTTTTAAATTAATTTCTGTAGTTGTTCATGATTGTTCTTTTATTTAGTTTCATTAGAACTTCCTTTCCATTCAGATGAGATGGGTATATGTGTTGTTCAGAATGTATCTTTTTGACTGCCTTGGGACAAATCTAGAATCCCTTTAGTGTCTTTACTACACGTTAATGAATTATGGTATAGGTCTCTTGGACAAAAGCATTTTTATTGGGCCAGATGTTGTAATTGTGCTACAAACTTTTGTTTTCTCCATAGATCAAAATATTATTATTAATGCTTCTCCATCTAACAACCTGCCATCAAGACGAGCTCACTCTCTGACAGCATCTGGATCACCTACTATAGGAGCTACATCATCTTCACCAGCAAGACCAGTTTCCTCTCCTGTAATGTCTTCAAGTAAGAGTCAGTCTAGGTAAGGACAAAATCAATTCTTTGATTTAAAAAGAAAAAAAGTTACTGTTACGTTAATTATCATCAAATCTCGTTTTCTTGCCAAACTGATGAAATCTGACAAAAACAATGCCAATAATGTTATTACCTTTTGGACAGACATCTAAAAAAACATTGTAGAACAACATAGGACATTTAAGCTGAAATACAATGAATCTGGGGATGGCTTTCTAGCAAGTCCCCAAGCAGCATGCTTCAGATTATGTCTGTTACAGAAGCAGATTGGAATGCTGTTCCAAAACTACACAAATATGGAGTTTAATTCTTTTCTCCAGATCTTCTTCAAAACATAGTTATAGATGTTTTCTGTATAATAAAAATCAACCGAAGTTCTGAGGTTTCTCAGCACAAGTCATTTCTACCTGGGGGAGTATTAACTTTTGCTGACATTCCTGGTGATGATTGCAGTGATGTCTCAGGGAATAGGAGGAACATATTTGAAATCTTTCTCTTACAGGCCTCTCCTCCTTAAACGTTCATTCTTTTTTGTATCCCTTAGGCAGTGCAAAAGGTCATGCTGTGATTGTGCAGTGATGTAGTGCACTAATATATTGATTCTATGAACGGTAATAATGGTGGTGCTGGTAGTAGTTGTAGTAATAATAATATAACAATGATAATATGTCAGGGATGTGGATGGTACTTTATGACATACAAGAAGACAATCTCAACAGAGGCCTTCCAGTGCCTTGTAACAGAATGAATACTGAGGTATGGTTACGGTATGAACCTTGGGGTTTCCAGGAAAGCGGTTGTAAACAGTGGAAGAGATTATTGTTGCTGGTAGAACATTTTTTTTTGAAGCAACATGTCTTATGTAATGTTTATGTTGTGTGTTTCTTGGGGATTTTTTTACACTTAAAACAGTTGGGTTTGGCAGTAGATCTGACTAGTAGAGCCACCTGTGGACGTCTGTGGTTGACTACTCCTTTTAACACTGCCTTCTGAGAGTCTTACTATGTTCTGTTCTTTTTGTTCTTCACTGTCATTCAGATTTAAGGATTGAAACAGCTTTCTTTTACATTACACTGAAGAAATGCTGCTTTACTGCCTTGGGAAAGTGCTTCTCTGTTTTGCAAATCTGCTTTTTGCTTTTATGCCAAAATAATTGCTGTTCTCTAAATGAGATTAAAAGGCTCAATGGAGAACTCGCATTCCTGGGGAGGACAGCTAATGTTCCTTTAAATCCTCTCAGTCCTGGGTTCCTGTACAGATCCCTGCACAGCTTAGCTCTGTGGGCCTCCCTGAATTATGACAGGTTTTCCCTGGCAAAATTGTCTGGAAACTCCACAGCATCGCTTAGTAGAGCACTCTCCAAGTTGATACAGCCCTTCTTGCTAGAATTTGCTCAGGCTACAGCTGTGTGGCTGTTTCATCTATCCTGAGGAAATATTCCTCAGAACAGAATTACATGTTTTATCCAGTACTTGACCCAGTTTTCATGAGCTGTTAGGAGACTTGGAGCACTGGAGAGAGTTTTAGTCTTGGTATTTACCCTTTGGACCCTTGATAAGCCTGAAATGTGCTTGCCAGTTTTCATGTATGTGGACACTTCATATGTGCTAAAAGAACTAAATATCTGTAGTGCCTCAGCTGCGATCGATATCTAAGCTATCAAATGGTAGGCTCCCTGCTTTGCTGCAAAGTCCTGTGATCATCTGCCTTGTATGTATATTAATTTACTCCTGGGATCTCTTAAGCAGTAAACCAGCTGGTTTACTCCAAGATGGAGTTTTAGATGCAGTTCTGGGAATACTTGCTCTTCTGTGCTTAGATAGTATGGATGGAGAGCTTACTCGGTCTCAAACCATCTACAGGACACACTCCCAGCAAGGATTGTACCTTCAGGCAATCTGCCCACAGGCATGGCGTGTCCTATTGCTTTGTGTTACATTAAATAAATGGCTTATGTCAGGCAATAACATATGCCACAGCTTATTTCAGCCCCTTCAGGTAGAATACACACTGAAAATAAACAGGCAAGCACCATGGGGCACCAAACAGACCTGAACCAATTGCTGGGCAGTGCAGAGCAATGTGAACGTAAGCCTTTCTGCTCCACTAAGGAAAAGTGACAGGTTGAATGCCTTTAGCAGTATAGATATAACCAACAGAGGAGCAGACTGGGACAGTGGTCCACAACCTGTGGTACATATAGACTGCGAGCAGTGTGATGTTCTTCCTGGAAGCTGCTTCCCTTAAAAGTGGTAATACACAAGCAAAGTAAGTTTGGGAAGCCATACAGACTGAACACTGACATCTTTTGTTTCTTTTTGCCTCATTTTTGTTGTTAATTCTGAAGTTTCATAGAAATCAAGTTATATACTTATATCTAACCAGTTTTGTCAGTAGCATCATAAATTAAGATAAAATGAAGCATCCGTTTTCCAAAGTAACAGAAAGTTGGAACGACTTAGATAATGAAATAAGCTAGGAAATACAGGATCCGCTAGGAGTGCTTGTATGCATTCGTATGGCTCTGCGCAGATCAGAGCCAACAGAGTTTATTAATTCGATTAGCATCAGAGTTTAGACTAAAACACTGACAAGACTTAATGGTTGGAGGCAGTGTTATGCATGAGCTGGTCGTGCATGTTAGGTGAGTGTGTGATCCCGTACAAAACTTAGAGCTTAGGAGAGCGGAGAGCAGAAGGGTCCCACTGGACTGCGCAGAAGCCATTGCAGCACGGAAAGCTTAGCTGATAACAAATGACTGTTAGCTGCAGTGTAGCAGCTAGGAGGAGGACAGCAAGAGAGATCTCTAGTTTTTTTCTCTTTCTCTTGCAATATAATATGTGCCTCAATTTTCCCTGAGCAGTCACTTAGGTCAGTGTCTCCACCAAGTGACAAATGCTAAATAAAATAAAATTTCTTGAAGTGAAAAAAAAAAGTCTAAATATAATGATCGCCATTTAAAAAGAGGATGACCTGATTATCTTTGTTGTACATTTTAAATAATAATAATTCTTAAAGGTAGAGAATGAAAAATGGTGTTTTTACATACATAACTCACAACTTTGATATTCCTGACCTCCTTACAAATAACTTACATTGAGAATAAATCCTTGTACAATCCAGATGTCCAAATAATTTCCAAATGCAGGTAGCCTGCAGCTGTCTTCTGTCATTCTTTCAAAGCAGATGTGCATCCATCAGATTCCCAAGTTCTTTGGAAATCTAGTGCCACCTGTAAGGTGGAGAACACAAGGGAAAGGGTGGTAACTCCATTGGGAAACAGGTAACAGGATATGGAAAATTAGGGATGGGGGCCTTTTTATGAAGAGAGAGTGAACTGCCTCTCATTAGTTGTATACAGGTATAATCCAGACTGTTACTAGTTACAGTTTTGGTTGTTGGTGGTAGTGGGGTTTTCTTGGGTGTTTTGGCTTTTTTTTAACAACCTATATTTCCTACTGATGGAATGGCTATGGAAGGTACTCTTTATTGATCAGATCTGTGAAATGCTGAGCAGTACCATCTCCTGCTGGTCTTCCATTTGTTACTCTACAGTTCCAGTCCATTTTCTGGAGTCAAGATACTTTCCTTGTCATGGTTTATTTTTCTTGTCTGATAAAAATGTTAGGAATTATTTTAGCCAAAAGGTTATATACAGTATGTCAGTACTTGCCAGAGTGATGCCAAGCAAGTTGAACATTATCAGCTAAAGTAGATGGTATTTTTTAATACTTTTAGATCACATACTGTTTTCATTTGCATGCATCCATTCCAGGCCAGGAGTGAATTGAGGAATCTGATCTAGCATAGTTATGTAAAAACAGACTGCTTGCAGCAAGTGGACAGGACAAGAAGCTGGTCCTGTTTTTCTGTCACAGCTGTTGGAACTATTTGTGCTGAACCTGATGGCAGAATTCCTACATTTATGAATTTGTAGATTTGAATGTTACAGAGCAATTAAGTCTGACACACAGTCACTCAGTCTGATACTTTGAAACAAATTTTCTAGCTTCTGGAGTTAGTTATGGTTTGAAGTGGACAATTCTTGATATTTGTGCTGGCTGCTTTGGTCCCTCCCTTTTCAGGATGCTGGTGCTGGCGGATCCCATTCCTGCAGTGTGTGTTCATTGGTGTTTAGGCCCAGGAAGAGGCTCAAGAGCTCAGCCTATCCTGCTGTCATCATTGGAAATTAGTACATGAAATTCACTAAGGACTTGCTCATACTGCTCAAGGAATAATTCAAGTCGGGGCCTAACTACACTTAAATCCTGTAGTAGCCTAAAGGTTTTGAGATGTGGCTTTTGGAAATGTACTGGTTCTGTTTAAAAAACTTTGTTCAGCTACACAACTTAGGTTAGCAATTGCAGTTATAAAGAATTTGACTGGGCTTGGTATTACTGAAGTCAACTAAATAATTAGCAGCAAACAGCTATTTGTTTCTGTCATCATTTTCTGCCTTTGCTCTCAAGAAACTCCAGTTTTCCTTTCTTTCCTTCAGCCCATGAAGCTGAAAGGAGGAAATCATTAGAACCTCATTTCTAGGAGGAAATGGCCTCCAGAGGCTACTGTCCAAGCCTAAAAGAAGAGGAGGACAGTAGCTTGATCTGTCTTTGTGGTATCTGATGATAATCCTGACTGTTCTTGGGAAGTATCCAGGAAACCTATGGGCTAGGAAACAATGAGGGTTGAGTGCCAGGAAAAGGGAAGGGTTATCCTTCTTAAAATCTGCACCTTTAATGCTTCCAGGTGCAAAAAGAAAATACTTCTTTTCCTTGCATATCCAGTCAGAATATTACTATTATATTTTGCCAGTGCAGAGCTTTAAAGAATTCTACATCCGTTTTATTTTTCCATTAGCAAATCTTCAATGAACTTCATAAACAGCCTGCACTACAAGAATACTGGCATTGTTTTCTTTAAATGGAAAATGAAATTGCTTTCATTTGTGCCATTTGCATCAGACTGTTTTGCACATGGAAGAGTTTTAAATAGCGTGTGTATACATTATTAATTCTGGCAAAGTCTGCAGTTGTCTTGAGGGAAAAGAATAGCTGTTATGAAACAAGAAGGTATAAACTGTCATTATGCATCTTACAAGATACTTCTTTATTTACTGCTTCCAGATGTTGGTAATAAATGCATTAAGGAGAGCACAAATAAAGTATTAATGCAGTAATGCATAATATTTCAATAAGTGGAAATTTAACATAACCAAATTACAGCAGTCTCTTTCTGATTTAGCACATGGAGCAGCAGTAGCTGGCATGGCCGCGTTAAAGGAGGAATGAAGGGGTTTCAGAACTTCATGGTGTCTGACAGTAACATGACTTTTGTGGAATTTGTAGAGCTCTTCAAATCTTTCAGGTAAAATATATTTTTATTCTGTACTCATCTCATTTATCTAAGTTTATAAAAGAGCAAAAATTGAACTTTTCAACTGTTTTTGCAGTGTCCGTAGCCGCAAGGATCTGAAAGACCTTTTCGATATCTACGCTGTGCCTTGCAATCGATCCGGTTTAGAGCCTACTCCACTTTACACTAATTTGAAGATTGATGAAAATAGCAGTGGATTCCAGCCTGATTTAGGTTTGTTAAAGAGGAAAATATAGCTGTTAGACTGCTGAACAGCTTCAGTTATTGGCCTTAAGAAAAAGTATCTCAGTCAGTCTTATAAAGAACTCTCAATTGTAAGTTAAAGTAGAGGATTGCTGCTGTATCTCCGCTAATACCTAGTTAGCAGAATGTAAGACAGGTTCTTTGTTCAGAAATGAAGGGGAGGAAAAGTATTCCTGCTTTACATTAGCCAGATATATTTGTAATGGGTATAGCAGAGGCATAAAACTTGTTGCTGAGCTGCTGGGCCCAACATGGGGATCTGTATCTGCTTGCAGGAGCTCTGGAAGGGTAAAACACTAAGCAAGTGCAGGGAGGAGAAATGAGGAGGCTATGCCTGGTGTCTCATTTGGTTGTGGTTTTCCTATCTGGTTTCCTAGTAGATCTGCTTTACATGGGTCGGGGAGTAGGAAACCTCTGTCCACCTTTACATTCCCCAGTTACCATAATCAAAGGCTGGAGCTTTGCCCCCATTTAAAGAAAACAGTCTTTCTGCCAAGCAACCTGTGGGGAGGGTACAGTACAACTGACATATAGGACTGGAAGAAGATAAACCGTGACTGCATAGGAAGGGAATGGGGTTGTGCATCACGAGAGGCTATGAGAGGCTTTGAGGAGGTACGTGCCGGTGAGAGGAAGCAGGAGGGTCCTGGGTGACAGTGTGTGAGGGGCTGTGAATCCATGTTAAAGGATTCCAGGATTTTCTGTATAGTAATTGAACACTTACAGTCCGCTCCTGCTGCTTTCCTGCACACTTAACACTCTTTTTTCTGTTAGTGAATAGAAACAAGATGGTTTTCTTCTAATTTACTATGTCAGTGCTAAAATGGTCAGATATTGATGTGTATTATATTCTATACAGTGTATAGAATACACAAATTATATAGCTTTTTTTTTTGCTTTTAAGATTTGTTGACTAGGAACGTTTCAGACCTTGGTTTGTTCATTAAGAGCAGGCAGCAGCTATCAGATAACCAGAGGCAAATATCTGATGCTATTGCTGCTGCCAGTATCGTAACCAATGGTACTGGAGTTGAAAGCGCATCGTTGGGAATATTCGGAGTGGGAATACAGCAGCTAAATGATTTCCTGGTGAATTGCCAAGGAGAACACTGCACCTATGATGAAATCCTCAGTATTATCCAGGTCTGTAATACAAACATCTTGCAATTCCTTCTACTCAAACTCTTCTTACTTCTGTTTTCCGTGCCAACCTTGTCTGCCTTATATTCAGAATAGCATATCTGTGTGGATATCTCCCTTCACACCAATGTTGTCACTACAGTTTATTTGAATTTAAAATTTAATACAATCTTTATTGCGGGCTATAAAATTGTGCAGATGCCCATAAATATGTCCGTAAAAAGAAAAAAAAATTCATGCAACTAAAGTTTCTTTGGCTATGTGTGCTTTCCGTGGAAAGGGACATTACCTCTTGGGAAAAGAATTCATGACAATGCGTTGTTTTCTCCTTGTCTGTGACTACCTTGGATAGAGCTTAACCCTGATTTGGAACTTAAAAAACCACCATTTCCATGTATGTTTATTTTCTTATTAAAAATTTTGCAGAGCAAACATGGACATCTTATTCCCTTATATACAATGGCTGAAGTGATTGGAAAGTATGTATAAAAATTTGAATTCCTCCAAACATGCATAATATACTCCAAAATTAAGCCCCCACTTAGCAGTTAACAAAGGTTAAAATTTGTGTATTTCAGCTGTCGATTTATAATATAGAATTGCAAAATTTAAAAGGCAGGCATTCTAAAGAAACATCAAGTTAGCACACCATAAGTCTCTATAATTCAAGATGGTGATGTGGTGTGTTTAAGCACAATAGATAGGAGAAGGGTGCCTGATTATAGATCCTTTTTAATTCCAGTTTAAGTGCTGACTCTGCTTTGAACAGGGGGCTGGATTGGATGACCTCCCAACATCGTTTTCAACCTGAATGTTTCTGTGATTTAGTTATGAGGTTAATATAGTTATTCAGTGATTTGTAAAACAAGCATGAGCATACTTCAGACATGTAACTACTTTATCCCCAAAAAGACTGGTTTTAGTTAGTTCAATGAGCAAACTACACTATGAAAATACGAAAAAGCCATTATTATGTGTCTCTCAAACTTCTTTCTCCTTCTAGAAATTTGAACCTAGTGTGAATATGTGCCAGCAGGGGCTGCTATCTTTTGAAGGATTTGCAAGGTAATTAATTATGTGTTAATTTATATATATGTATGTATAAAGATGTTTTGTATGTATGAAAGTCACAAAATACTCAGCTCAGCATAAAATTTCCTCACATCTTCTCACCTCTAGATTTTTGATGGATAAAGACAACTTTGCCTCCAAAAACGATGAGTCACAAGAGAATACTGAGGACTTGCACTTTCCACTATCATATTACTACATCGAGTCTTCACACAATACTTACCTTACTGGCCATCAGCTTAAAGGGGAGTCCTCAGTAGAGCTCTACAGCCAGGTATGCAGGATTGGATCATTGTGTAGTTTTCAACATGAACTTGTTTGTTTAACTGGCAAGTCACAGAAGCATGACCTTTTTGCTTTGAAAATCTAAATGTCCTAAACCCCTGCTTGCAGAATGTTGGAAAACATGATGTGTGGGAAAGCTGCCTGTAAGCACAGTTGTGCTCAAATGCCTTTTCTAAGGCAAAAAAAATGATTTTAGTTTGAGATTCATAGCATTCAGACACCAGTCAGTCTGACCCAACCTACTAAAATTAGACTTTCCCACAGGAAAGACACTGATCTAATATTTTAGTTCATTCAGATGTTAAAAACACTACTCAAATACTGTACATTGCACTGCAAAGACAAATTTCAAATGGAACTATAACTTCTAAAAACATTACTTCTAGGAATGTTTTACGGTATTTTAGCCTTTATGCCTGATTGCTGGTGAATAGGAAAAGAAAGATTTCTCCCTAGGGCTTTTAGCTCTGTGTTTGTTTGTGTATGTATATATATTTGTGTGTCTGTGTATTTACCAAACGCTAGAGAAAGCATCAAACTTCCTGTGAGTAGTGTTTTCGTTACTCTAAATGTTAATGACTCACCATTGAGAAGGGCTCCTCTGGCGTCTCATGTGCTGCTTCGCCTGGAGTTACAAGACAGAGGGTGAGGCTGTGTTAGGAAAGCCCAAATAACATCATTACATTGAATAATGCAATTGCAAAGGAGGTTCCTGTAGTAGCACTGCACAGAGCGGTGTGAGTACCATATTGAAAAGAGATGAGAAGTGAGACAGAGCTCAGCTGGCTCCAGAATTTGCACGATGCGGGAAAGCTTCTTCCTGTCCCTCAAGTAGTTGTCATCAGAAGAGAAGAGGCACTTTGTTCTGGCTCGGTGCGTCTGGCTCTCGCAGAAGTGCTGATGTGCCAGCTACGGACACAACTGCCTGAAATCCAATTATTCAGGTTTTGAATAGAAGTAATTTTTTCTTTGTTCATGAATGTTTTTGCTGGAAATTATTTTTGTTGTAGAGATCTTTGTTTTCAGTAAAATATTTAATTGTAATACAGATAACTCTTCCAATGATAGGCATGCTAAATATTGATAGCAATCATAAGCTGAGCTGCCAACAGATGGGTTAGCTTATCTTTCCCTCTGTCCTTCCTTTTGCTTTCTTTAGTGGTTTTCTAGCAAATAGAGCTTTCTAAAATAAATCAATGAATAAATAAAGAATGGATGGATGGATGGATAGATGGCTGTAAATTAGCTTAATATCATTAAATAAGATGACCTGGCACATTTCCATTCTGTCTGTCCTTATGGAAATTATCCAGAAGACATTATTTTCAGACTTTCTTCTATTTAAAAAATTAACAACAACAATGAAAAGAATCAGCAAACAAACTGCAGATACTGTGCCCATAAGCTGTCAGGGTAGCAACCTGGAATAAATTGTTATGTTGCTTTATAGCTGCTTTTGCGGATAGAAATACAGAAACGTTTCTCTCCCTTAGAACATTAAGCTATACATTAAGAACTACTTTCTGCAAACAGATTCCATGTGTCCTGTAAGATACCATGAATTTCAAAGCTTTGTGGTACTCCTACTAA